GTAATTTTTGGTAGCCGGGAATGGCGTTCGCGCCGTCCCGACATGAGAAATAAATTCTGAAAGAATGTTAAAAACAAGAGAACGGGGTTTCTGCAGTAGACCTTCTCCTCAATATCCCTGAATTTATTAATTAAATGCCTGGATGTGTTACTTTTGGGACTGGTACCCGATGGTAATTTGAACAAATGTCCGGCGACCGTGCCCCAGTTCGACTCTCTCCATCCATCATCGATCATTAGCCGCGGGAGGCGTTGTTCTCCTTCCGAATCGCATCTCTCAGCAGCCCGTTCCGTCTATTAAGCGGCTTTCCGTCGTTTTGTTTGCGTGCTCCTGGGTCCAGCCTCCTTTTTCGCGCTTTCTTATTTATTTATCATCATTTATTAAACGCTCTCGCTTCCCTGCCAAGTTTCCGATGCCAAGAAAGGAGTCGTCGTCGGTCCGAGTTCGGCAAAAAATCTTCGCTGTCAGATTACGTTGCAATATTGCTTCCAGTTGCCATATCCTGCCGTCCTTCCGCCCAAAGTCACACTGCCGTAACGGCGAAGGACGAGAGAAGCGCGCAATCGGCGGAGAAGGAAGGACGACCCCATCCCCCTTTTGGCTTTGACACAAGCAACAATTTACTCGGTTTCAGGTTAAAGTCATATCGTTAGCATTAACGCTTTTTGATTTTTATTGAGTCAGCTAAATTTTATTCGATTTACCATCCACACACACACACACACAGGGCGGCGCACACCCTCGCACGGCCAAAGACAAATACAGATGTAGCAGGGAGTGTTCCGCCAGCAGCATCCCAACATCCCCTGTCAGGAGGACAGGCACAACATTCCTGGGGAGGAATATTTGCGAGCTTTAATGAGGTTGGGCGAGCAACCAACCAGGAAACTCCTGGGTGGGGGTCCGACCTGCTTTCCGCTCCAGCCCCTCGGCTTTGGGAAGAGTCTATTTCGGAAGTAAATGAAAATTTGATTTGGAATTTCGTGTGTCCTGGTCGTGCGTGCGTGCCAGGATCTCGACTCGCACTCGAACCCAAACCCAAACCCAAACCCGAAGCCAGGCTCAACCCCCAACGGGAAGGGAATGCTGATGATGTTGTTGATGCTGATGACGACGTCAAAGTCGAAGATGGGCATGTGATAAAATAAATTACGGGCAGATTAGTGAGAATTTAATTATCGTTTGTTTCTTTGATGTCGCGCCAAGTAAATAAAGGGAATAAATATGGAGATTATTTGAACGGCAGTTCTAACAACGTTAACTCCGTCTCCACCTAATTGTGCGAAATATGTGAGGTCGGGTTTGATAAATTCATGGCTACCTGAGATTTCCAACCCTAGAAGAGCCTATTTCAGAGGCCGTTCTTGAAATTCCCAACTGGTTCTGGCGTTGCTGGCATGGAAACCCTGCCGCCGAGCAGAGGAAAGCATACTTACCTGGCGTAGAGGTTAACCGTGATCACGAAGGCGGTTCCTCCGGAGTGAGGCTTGGCCATTGCACCTCGGCTGAGTTGACCTCTGCGATTATTCCTAATGTGAATAACTCGTGCGTGTAATTTTTGGTAGCCGGGAATGGCGTTCGCGCCGTCCCGACATAAGAAATATATTTAAAATAATGTTTTAAAAGAATATTAACAAGAAAGGAAGCTAACTTCGGCACGCCGAAGTTTGTATACCCTTGCAGATTGGTTTTCATATTTATATTATAAATTATAATGCCGAAAACAGGCACTAAACAGAGTTTCATAACATTTTCACTATACTTATTATGTTTACAGTTTGACAGTTACAGTTATACATTCCCAGCTTTACATTTTCTCTACATCTGCGGATCGCTTCTATGGCAGCTATATGATATAGTTGTCCGATTTTTTTGAAATTTATACCAAAATTTTATAATAATAAGTAAATCTCATATCTCAGAGTAGATGAAAATACGTTGAAAAACAACGAAGTTATAATTTTTTCTATTAATTTCCCGATCGTTCCTATGGCAGCTATAAGATATAGTGGTCCGATTTTCATAAAATTTTTACGAAAATTCCGGAACAATATAAAATGGCTATATCTCAAAAATGATGGAATAATATTGAAAAACAGCCAAGTTATAATTTTTTTTCCAAAAATTTATCCAACATTTGTATGGCAGCTATATGATATAGTCGTCCGATCCGGCCCGTTCCGACATATATAGCAGTGAGAGTATATAGAAGACTACATGTAAAGTTTCATTCAGATAGCTTTAAAACTGAGGGACTAGTTTGCGTAGAAACGGACAGACGGACGGACGGACAGACGGACAGACGGACAGACGGACAGACGGACATGGCTAGATCGACTCGGCTGTTAATGCTGATCAAGAATATATATACTTTATAGGGTCGGAAAGGTCTCCTTCACTGCGTTGCAAACTTCTGACTGAAATTATAATACCCTGCAAGGGTATAAAAATATGCGAATTATTGATGAAATCTTTGTATCCCAGAATTGTAAAAACTTCGGTACTGGTGCCATCGATAATATAGCCTCTATACAAAAGTGGAAATGATGGTGATTCATAATATCATTCATATTTTTTCAATTACTAATACACTTCCATTTGTGATAATAAATATTTGTAATACATTTTAATGATTTAACTCTTTGATTTACCTTAACATATATTTTTAGTTAATGAAACGTTACAAAAAAAAATTTTTAAATAAATTTAATTGGCAAATTTATTATATTTTTTTTGATAATATTGTGCTCTCTTAAAAAAATAATAAATATATTAAAGTTGTAGCCTTTAATCTTCATCTCGCTATCTTTCGAATTTCAAAAACTGAACCCATCTAATGTATAACATGGTTTTTCTTATTTTTAAAATTATTTGTATTTTAACGTTAATTTTTTATCAGAGATCAGAGTCTTGTCCCAGAGTCTTTAAACATTTGAGCTTCAGCCTCATGCACACTGCCTTGTGGGAATACATATAAAAACACAACTCTAGTCGTTTTATATCAATCTTAAATTTTATAAATAGGTGTTGCCTGTCATATTAAATATATTCTGCTTTAGAGCACGGGAGTTTGAATATTATTTAATCCCCAAGATGAGTTCAAACACAATTCCCCAAAGGAAACATAAAAACACCAAACCACTTTATATTTCCTCTCCGATTTTTTCGCTTCTCCTGTAACTGGTTAGTGCAAATATTTGTCATAAACGGAGAGTCAATCATTTGTCCATCCATCTAAGTCCGTCATGCAACCTCCAAAATCAAAAACACAGCGCACTGCGGGTTGCCTGCGGTAACCCGCCCGGCAGCATGTCCATATGTCCACCCCCCCCAGATCCAAGTTCCAAGGCACTTGTCGTGGGGAGGACGACGGATTTAGGATTGGGCCAACCCTTTCTGATTCCGTGGTTGTATGCTGCCGATTCGGGGCTCAAAGGGATGCTCTCGTCCTGCTAAGTATCCCTGGCAACCCGTTAATTTATAGAGCTTATGTGTCTACGATCCAGTTGAGATTCCCTTCCCTTACTTTCCTGCCAGCTGGGCCCTGCACTTAGATGCGATTAGTGGATTAAAGGCGTTTATTGTCTCCGGTATCCGAGGCACATCGAATCGGTCTGTCGGTCGTCCGGGTGACGATTCCACGGTTGTGGGACTCGGGAATTCAATTGGCAAAGTGACTGCGGCGACGGCCACGCAATGTGGGTCGATGTCGTCCGGTTGCCAATCAATTTTTCCAGCGCCAACCTGGCAACAAGTCAAAAATAAAGCCATCTGCCTGGTTGGCAACGTCTACACACAGCTCCTTTTTTTTTATCGGCTGCCGGGAATCTTATCGCGTCCAGTGACGAAACATCAGGAGACGCAGCCAGACACAACCACTCAGCCAGCCAGAAAGATAGCCATGGCCATTGAGTATTTTTTTTTCCCCCCCGGAACCCGAGCTCGAAGCCGGGCCAAACATTATTAACAACAACCATCGGCGGTCGTGTGCCGGGCAGCCTCAGGCTCAGCCTCCGTCAAGGAGGAATCCCTGTTCATTGTGACTGTATCAGGGTGTTGTTGTTGTTGTTGTTGTTGTGCTTGGGGATGTCAACGTGCTCGTCATCACTTTGTATAAATATCCTCGAGCACGTATATACCATGGGGCCACGTGCTCGGTGTGCTGCGTGAGCGTGGGTCCAGGACTTCAGAGATTAATGCACGCATTAGTTGATTTAATTCATATTACGCTGGATATTTCTGCTGCTGTTGTCCTGGCCACCAGCGGCAATTGAGACATTCTGGGGAATACCCTGGCAACAATTGTGGGAGACGACAACGAGCAGGAGCAGCGGAGCAGCTTAAGGCATTCGAATTTAATATCGACGGGAAACAAACTGAAATTTCAGTCGAGGGGATTCTGGAGAAGGTTTTCCTTCGTTCGATTCCCACCTCTGACACCTATCGCTGGATGTTGTCTGTCTGTTTAAACATTTGGCATACATTTGCATTGTTTAGCCAGGAGTTCGCCGGCAGCAGAGTCAGCGAGCTTAGCATTGAATTTCAATATATTTCATGGTTTTCAATCAATTTCATGGCAAAGTCCCAAAGGGAATGCCCTGCCAGCAGTACTCCCCCTGGGACTTGTCAAGAGCATGGTTCGTCATCGTCATCAACCTTCATCATACTCTTCATCATCATCATCAGCCTCAGAGGAGGCAGCAAGAACAGAAGCAAGAGCTGAAGCAACCTGAACATTGGTTGGGGAAAGCTGCACGCCAGCAACTTTTTGTATGGCAAAGTTCTTCTTTCGTCTGAGGATTAATTTGTAAAGCAGCCCTGGTGCTCTTTGTCCCTGTCCGGTGAGTTTCTTGAGCCTCCTCCGGATTATGAATCCCTGGCAGGCACCTGAAACACTGCATTTGGGATGAAAAAACGTACTTTTTGAGACTTTATTCCAATTAAATATTCTGCAACTAACGTTCTCGCAACCCTGTTCTGTTTTCTTCCGCTTCCCTTAGCCGGACGAGCACCTCCGGAGCCCTACTACGGCAGCTACGTCGGAGAGTTTACCAACTTTGCCCATGGCATCAAGGTGAGTCAATGAGTTTAAATTCCTTGTAAGCTTTTGAGTTTTAATCGTTAATAAACTGCAGTTTGGGCATTACTGAAATATATATTGAAATATTCCTTTCTCAGGGCCGAATCTATGCGGTGGACGAGTCGACGCTGTTTGTCAAATCCTTCGCCTACGACGGCACCGGACCGGACGCCTTCTTCTGGGTGGGCAAGACGCCTCGACCGAGTCCCGACGGCTACATCATACCCTATCCGGAGGAGTACATGGGCATGTGAGTATAGGAGCTGGAAAAATGCACTTGGTTTTGGGCTGGCCATTGATGGCCACAGACTGGGCCTTGTTGAAGACGGAAGCGGAGGTGGAGAAGGAGAGGGAACGGTGATGGAGATGTCCTGGCTACTCGAGCGCAGCAGGCCATTTCCTCAGAATGTGTGTTAGTGTGTGTGTGTGTGTGCCTGGATCCTTGCCGACTTTACGTTACGCACGGCTGACAATGAAACCACTTTCAAAAATTAAAAAACATTTTTCATCTCGCCTGCCATTTGTGCTTGCTCTCGCTCTCGTTTTCTCCCTTTGTTGCTCTGGTTGTTGTTGGTTGTGCCTTGTGTGTGTCGCTTCGTTGCCTCCTAATGTGAAAAACTCATTTATTTCTTCACGTTAGATTTGTGGTCATATGTGGAGGCGGGAGTGGCAGTCAGAGTCGCAGTCACAGTCGCAGCAAACAAAGAAAGCCGCAAGACACAAGCACAAAGCTATGGCAGAAAGTTTCAGCTTTTTAGCTACTATTTACTTGAGTCGCCACAAGGTTAAGCCGCTCAACCAAGTATTTACCTTGCCAGTCTCCTGGCAGTCATCCTCCTCCTTGCGCTGCCACTTGAACGCACTAAGTCGCTGCCTGTTTCCGTTCCCCAGCACTTGGCCTAATCCGCCGGTGCATCCTGGCCACGCACACAATTTGACGTCATTTGGCCTGAACATTTCATTATCACGAACAATGCAGCCCCACTAGCTAATCCCAAGCCTCATCCTAATTCCCTCATCCCCCAGCGCCTTCAAGGCAAAGGTAAAGTGGCTCCCCACGCGACATTGGCATTTTCTCAGGCGCGATAGAAAGAAAACATACATAGCTAAGGTGAATGTTGTCTTTGATTTTCACGATTTCCACTACCCACGAGGGTTGTCAATGCCAAGGTTGTAGTACTCCAAGGATGTAGCACCCTTGGAATAAAAAGCTGAAGACAAGGAAGGATTATTAAGGAAATAGTATTATTTTGTTAATTTAAAAATCTTCTAGGATGCTCCAGAAATCACTAAGTTCATTGGACATATTTTGTTTTAAAAACCCCAGTGATTTTCGATAATATATTTACTAGTTGCCTAATTTTAATTTTTGATATTTCTTTTAATAAATATTATTATTAACATTATTTTATTTAGATTTATATATAGTAGTATATATTTCATGTTGAAACCCAATCTAAGCCTTGCTTGATAACAGATTTTTTGCATATTCAATCTTTGCCAAAATATTTCCCTAATGCCAAGGATAACAAAACGTAGCGTGCGAGGAATAAGAGATTCCCAGAAATCGGCTTCCCGCATTGCGCAGTCTCCATGCTCCCCAATCCCAATCTAAATCCTTATCCCCAACCCCATCTCCCGTTTTCCAGGCTAAAGAAAAAACCTGAGAATGTTTACGCGTTGGATTTTCCCCATTCGAAAATCTCAAATGCTCGACGCGGTTTCTCGCTTGAGAAATCGGATTCAGATTCGGAATCAGAAGCTGAATCGCTGCCTGCTTGATGATGTGTGAGTGCGGCGGACTGAAGGCGATGCAGAAAACCATCCGTGGCGAATCGGTGGCCCAAACCCAAGGCATTCATATTGTAATCGACTTTAATGCGTTTCATTGTTGATGCCACGTGCCGGGCTTTATTAGTTCAATGTACAACGATGCCATCGCCTCCACAGCCATCCATCCAGTGGCGCGCCTCCCCCATCCACCCATCCACCCGTCCACCCCTCCTGCTGTCCTGCTGACAAAGAGCAACATTGTGCGGAGGGGTTGGGGCCAGGGATTGGAGATGGAGGTGGAAGCCCGGAACGCCGTAGCGATTGCACGCTTTTACGCTTTCAGACACATTACCCATACCCCCCGTTGTACATTACCGCGTGCACCTTCTGCCGCGCTGGTTGGGCTGGGAATGTGGGTGGTAGGTAGCTGAAGGTCGACAGCGGTGTGTGTGTGTGGTGTCAGCACGATGATGATTGCTGTATTATGTGGCACACCGCCGCTGCTATCGCAATCGCATGCATTTGAGCCAACAAATTGCGCGCGTTTATTATGTCTAATGATTTTTATGTACGAAATTATGTGTGTCTGTCTGCCGCCGAACGATAATTGATAAATGCAACTGATTGGCACTGGGACAGGCATTCTCCCGCCACCACCACTCCGGCTGGCAGGAGCTACGAGTGACAGCCCCGAAGAAGGCTTCTTGCTAAGCTTTCCGGGCGTACGCCAATCAACGTTAATTATCCCGATTGCTTTTGGCGGGACCCGTTGAAGGGCTGCCAATCCTGCTGCATTACAAGCGTGCTCGTGGCTCAAACGAAATCTGAGATGTCCCAGTAAAAGCTAAAGAGCTTTATAACTTTGAAAAACCATGGTTTGATTTTATAGGAAAATTAATAAAATATTTCTTTCCTCTGCGATGAATAGCTCAAGTTTCTAAAGTTTCAAGAACTTACTGTTCGAGTTAAGCTAGATTTTAAATATAATCATTTATAAACTCGTTTCTAGCTTATATTTCTCTCCTGAACTTATAATAAAACTAAGTTTCCAAATGTTTGTTGTGCTCACCAGATAGTACCTATGCTTTTTCTTGAGTGGACTCCTGCTCCTGGCGCTGCTCACTTCTTTTTGTGTTCACGCTCGCTTTAGCGCTCCCCTGGTGAAAGGGGGAGGTTGGTTGTCTGGGAGGAAAAGGGGAAGGGGTTGGATGGTGGCTGTGTCACAATGGATGCATCGAGCATAAGTAATTAAATTAGAATTTTTGAGAAGCATGAAAGCGACGCAGCGCTGATTAACGCCCGTTGCCATGACAATGAGTGGGACGGCGCGCCGTTGCCTTGTCCCAGTGACACCACCACCCATTGGCAACCCCCTGCATTATCCCTCCTCCCCACTGTTGCTCATTTGCATCTGCACAACAAAACGCCGCCTCACCTCCCCGCGCTCCACCTTGGCGCTTGCCTTTTCGCTTAGCTCTGATTTATGCAGATTTCATTAAAGTTTGCTCCATGCAAAGTAGCAAATGAAGTTTTAGTTGTGTCCCCTCCTCCTGGCTGCCACTATATACTAACCAGGAGCAGGATGTGCCACCCGGAACGTCCTTCGTGGTGTTAATCATCGCTGACAGCGCAGCCGCAACACGAAATACTGTTTTGGCTGTCGCCTCCGGCCGTGTTGTGCCCATTGCCATTAACTCGATTAAGCACCAGAGTTGGCGGATTTATTCGGATGCAGTTTTTCCTCAATACCTTCTCCACCCCCGCTCCTTGACGCCCTCAAGTGGCTGCGCCTGTTGCTGTCACTTCGGTCCCCCATGCGCTCAAAAGTAGGCAACGCTTCTGACGCCTTTGACGGAAACGAATTATAAACAAGAAAGGAAGCTAACTTTGGCACGACGAAATTTATATACCCTTTTGCAAATGTGCATATTAATTTTAATACTTTGAAAAAATTTACATTTTTGTTGATTTTTGAAAACTTTAACGATGTAACCCCTTACCAAATTTACAAAAAAAAAAATTGCTAAAAATTTGTTATCTTTCCGACATAATTAGAAAGACTCGCCTGTTGATGCTGATCAAGAGTATATATGATTTATGGGGTTGGATCAGTAAATAAAATCATAATTATTTATTACAAGGGAAGACCTTATATTGTTGAATTCATTAAATGAATATTTATTCATATTTTTGAATGGTACTTTTCTGGACAAATCAAAGTTTAAAAACTGTCATGAGCTAATAAAACAATTTGGACTTGGCTAAAATTAATTTAATATTTAATATTTATTTATTTAATAATAATATTTATTTACATTTCAGTTAAAATTTAAGCTTTCCAATCATGATTAAAATACGTTATGGGACAAGGGGTTAACCTTTCAATCGAAACGAAAATCTCTTAATTTTTATTTAGTTTTTGAAAACGGAAGCTTAAAAAACTTTTCCATAATTGGCAAATAGTAAAATAGTTAAGTAAGCAAAAATAAATAAATAAGTAAACGTCATACTAATTTATTTTGTAATGTTTTCTTTACGACATTTTTTTCTTTGAAAATCCTTTAATTTAATTTCGTAATGTATATACTCTTATAAAAAACAAGAAAGAAAGCTAACCTTGGCCAGCCAGTTAACAATTAAAATATTCATAACTAAGCCAAAAATGCATTAATTTCGATTCGGAAAGCAGTTTTGTGTTAGTTTTTATTAATTTAAAAAAACTGCATACCAAATTTAAAATTTTAAGAAATCAAAATTTTTGGCCATTTTTGCTCATTTTAATGATTATCAAATTTCGAAAAAGTGGCAAAAAAATTTCTTCCGGACATGTCTAGAAAGATTCGCATGTTAATGCTGATCAAGAATATATATGGTTTATGGGGTCGGAAATGATTCCTTGACTTAGAAAAATATTATTTTGTATTATAAAATCCGATTTTTTATATTAAAAAACTTCTTGATTTTTTTAAAATTAAAAATATCATAACTCGGCCAAAAGAGCATTGATTTTAAATCGGAAAACTGTTCTGTGCTAGATTTTCTACAGTTAATAAAGCTGCATACTTCATTTAAAAATTTTGAAAATTCAATTTTTTATCAAAATTAAAAATTTTAATGATGTAACCCCTTATAAAAGTTTGCAAAAATGGCCAAAAAATCGATTTCTTCCTGACATATCTAGAAAGATTCCCCTGTTGATGCTGATCAAGAATATATATACTTTATAGGGTCGGAAACGTCTCCTTCACTGCGTTGCAAACTTCTGACTGAAATTATAAGACCCTGCAAGGGTATAAAAATCTATGCTCCCTTAAAATATATAAAACAAATAAGTAATAAATAAATAAATAAGCATACTAATTTATTTTGTAATGGTTTCTTTTGCTTGAAAATCCTTTAAATTCATTTCGTAATTTATATATTTTTAAAGTCATACGTTTCAACGGTTTTTCACATCAAAAAACATTATTTTAAATGCTTATAAGCTCTATGCTCATTTAAAAATTTTACAAAAGTAAAGTCTTTTCTACTCTTTACTGCTAACTAGATTTTCCGCAGCTCGTTAGGGAACATTTTGCCGTAGTCTGTAGTGGTTTTCTTCCCCGAACCAAAGCCTTACTAATTATTATTGTTGGTGGCGTGATTAATGCCCCCGCCCGGCGCTATCTCCGGCGCGAACACCCCTGCTGCCTGCACTTTAATACAAATTTAATTGAGTAGTCGTTGCTGGGACTCATCATCCGTCTGCGGACTGTCACCCACAGAAGCGGGGGCGTTGGCTTGGCTCCGTCACGGAAACATGAAATATTCATAATAATTTTAGAATATTTTCGGGGGTGACTGGTCCTCGGTTTGGCTTTGTTCGGGGAATCCGGATGGGGTTGGGTGCGAGTGTGGGATGTTGGGTCTGGGATGATTGGGCCTTCTGCTGAGTTGGCGCGTTTTATTGTCTGCGAAATGCCCTCGATTGTTGTGCGTTTTGTTTTATCGAGCGGCAGGCAGCATAACATACATATACTGCCAGTCAGCAGGAAAGGAATCCGGTGGTCGAGCAACAAGTTAAGGGCTTAGTTGCGAAAGGAAGGGCACCCAAGCGGGATCCGAATTCCAACTAAACTAATTGGGTGAAAGTGCATAGATGCTTAACGCTGAGCGAGAGCAAATAGAATAAAATCGATGGACAGCCCATTCCCACACCCACACCCATTCCAATCCATTCTAAGTGCATCAATAAATGTCGAACTCGAGCTCACTCAAGCCAGGCGGAGATGTCCTTGCCGAGAGGGAGGACAGGCAAATCAAACAGGGCAACAAGCACACATATTTGCCAGGCGGAAACTGTAATGGAACTGGGAATCGAAGGCAAACAGACTGGAGCCGTGGAAGACGGCCTCGATACACTGGTGTCTTGGGGGTGGCAGGACGGCACGACACATCCCTGGGTAGCCAGCAGATAGATACATTTGATGCACTGTTGACACAGAGCCATTCAATTTGTTTTGGCTCATTAGAGGCTGCACCAGTTGCTGCTGGCATCTGGACAGAAGCTCGGACCTCGACCCGGCGACCCGGCGACCCGGCGACCCGGCGAGCCTCGGTTCAAGGATATTATTGGCTAAGTGCTTAGCCGCGTCTAATGCGGATTGCGTGGCCTCCGCTGACATTCATTAGACGGCGACCTTTCCACTTCAGCAGCTAGAGCCGACTAGCCCACTAACTGACTGATTGACTCGCCGCCCTCCACTTGTCCCAGTTGCGATGGATCGATCCTCCTCAACCCCCAGCGACTCAAGGAGACCTCTCTCTCCCCCATGATTTATACTACATCCAGCCGTGTCGACAGATACAGATTCATCTGGGCAAACACTCGCTACGACTGCCAACGACGACGACAGCCCCCTTGGGATTGGCATACTTAGACTTCAAGTTGATTATTAATATTCCCAGGAGTCGGTCGTGGAAGCGAGATGAGATGCAGCAGCTGAAGGATATGTAATCATCGGAAAATCCACATGATTATAAAAGCAAGCCACTGCACTGAGGAAATCAGAGGGTACCTGACTATAGTAAACATTACAAAGGGACTGTGCATTTACCTAAGACTTGCAATAATTATGGGGAACGGTAAAACCTCAACTACTGGGTTTTGATATTCACTGACATTCGCGATAATTGCCCAACCATTGCTATTAGCATCTCTATGCCAAGGCTCCGCTTCGATTCCCACAAAGGCACTGAGATTGAAGCCCCAAAGAGTCGCTAATTGGCTAAAAAGCTTTAAGCCGCCGCCAAAAGTTGCAGCCACCTAGAAATCCATTCGCCAAGTGGCAGAGGAGGGGCATGGCATGGGACGTGTGTAATGCCTCGGTTCGCTGCATTAGCCATAAATCTTCATCAACGCTCGCTCCCCTCATAAATAATGCGAGTATGCGAAAATGAGAAATGTTTTTGGTTTGTCGTTTGGTTTTTGCTTTAATTTTAATGATTTTAAATAGTGTCGCTGGAATTCAGGCCAAGGGTCCGGGCCTGGGGGATCCGTTGCGTTTTCTAGGTGGTCACACATTAATCCCTATGCACGTGCAAACTGTAGGCGTGTCCTTAAACAGACAGTCACTGGGCTGGTCATGGGTATGTTTGATTTCCTTTTAACCAGGACAGAACAGTAAGGACAGGACTCTGGAAAGGAAACAGGAACTAGAAAAACAACCTATTGGAACGACAAGACACCTGCTATGAAGTATAAGTGTGGGCAATACCTATCATTTATAATATGGCGAGCATGTTGTGTCCTTTTAACCATTGAATATATATAAAATGTAAAATTTTGTTTGGCAGAAAAATAACCACATTAAAAATATGATAAAATTCAGTGCTTTAATTTTGTTTCCTTACGCTACTTGGTACATATAGTTTGGCATGACCAGGACCTCTCATTTAAAGCTCTCTTTCTTCATCTTACTCTCGTTCTCGGTCGCCATCGCCACCCGCAGGGATCCACCCATCCTGCAGGCGCACAACGGAACGGACATCCTACTGCGCTTACCCATGGGCAAAAGGATTAAGGACATTCGATGGCTGTCAGTGTGGTGCAGACGCTTCACGGTGAGTCCCAGCTCATTCCTCTTCCTTTTGGCAGCTCTTCTGGCAAGGATGGCACGCGCCATCCTCGCAGATTTATGTGTGTATTTAGCCGGGGCAAGAGCCTTTTTTTTTGTAATTACATTTTTCGTAATTTAACTGCAGCTGCCTGCACAAGGATTCGAGCATTATGCTCTTGTCCGGTCCCACTCCCGGTCCCGGCTATCGATTATCGTCTTAATGGCTTTTCAAAAGGGGGGAAGTTATTTGGTTTCTCCTCCTAGGGTTTGCTTAAGAGTAAATTAAGGATTTAACAGCATGGTGGCCAGCATGATCCACACTTTGATATAGTAATGTGGGTCAGCGCTTGCTTCCATTGGAGCTTTAGTTTTAGATTCTAATTACACTGCTGAATATGCAAGTGCTCCGTCGCAGCAGAGCTGGCAATTATGTTTGCTTTGGCAACTTCGTCCGGCGAAAATTGCTTTTGTCCAAAAGGTTGCCAAAGGGATGAGGATGAAGACGAGAGGTGGCTCCCGGAAAAATGCATTCCCCCAGATAAATTCCCCAAATGGCCACCGCTACGGGTTCTAGTTCTGGGCGGGAATAAAAGATGGCGGCCGTAGTAAAATAAATTACAGCAGACATTTTTGATTAACTCAAGTGGTTGCATATAAATACACAGACACAGTCACAGACACCGACACAGCCCCCTCACACGGACACTGGCTGTGTGTATCTGTGCAGCATACAGGGTGTCCCGTCCATGCTCCCTCTTTTGTGTGTGTGGGTGTCTGTGTCAGTGGGTGGGTGTACGCCGCCTTCCATTGACTGACAGCCAAAAAACTTCTTGGGGGCTGCTCACGCACGCACACAGATGCCGCTTGGATTGGGGTTAGTTAGTGTAGCTGTGTGAGTGCGCTGTTTGTGGAGTTTGGAGCGCGCATGCCCGATTTTTTGTGGGCGGGGTGGGGAGCACGAAGGGGGCTTCAGCCCCCCACACACACACACATATATTATGTACATTATGTTTTGGGTATACAACAACAAAGCGGTTGTTTGCTTACTTAGAGTCGCCGCGTTGCCCCGCGTCGCATGTAGATGTCAAGTAAAATAGCATCGCGTGGAATTGAGTCAAATATTTACAGTTTTTGGGAGGCAACGAAGTTAAATACTCTTTGTCTTTTAATCAATATATCATATATTATTTAGAGGAGCTATATAGAATTTTGTTTGTACTTTTAGAAATATTTATGTAAACTATAAAAATAAATTAACTAAGGTTTAAAATCAAATGAAAAGCATCCCAAGGATTGTTGCAAAATATTTAAGGGTCATAAATTCCTTGAAAGTTTATTTTGTACTCATATGTAAACTAAGATAAATAAATCAAATATTTTTAGATTTGATTTTAAATACATCTTCAGATACTTTATACTCCTTATAGGGTTAATTTCTATGAAAATGAAAAGCAAGGACTTTAGCATTATAATTTATATATATTTAAAACAAAATTAACAAAATAGATATACAAAAATTCCCTACTCAACTGACTCAATTCAAACGATAAACGATTATAACGACCAAACCCTAAGTTATTTAAAAATTTACTTAAAAATAAATCAATAGAAAGGGTATTTAAGCGTTTACTTGGCTCAAGTAGTCTAGCTGAGAAATGTGATGTAGAAAGTAGAAAAATATGATGTAAACCCCTGTCACTTGCCACGCCTTAAACATTAAAGTAAAACTGCACGCTGTGCTTAAAGGGCACTTTATTATCCTCTGTGAGATATAAAAGCAAACGATGATGACCTTACCCTCCCTTTCAGGTCGACTTTGGCGAGGTGTTCATTCCAACGAACCTGGGTGTGCCCAAGCCACGGGTTCTGCCCGAGTTCAAGCGCCTGGCCCACGGTCTGCGTTCGAGCAACATCAGCGTGCTGGACGCCAGGACTTTTTACATGTGAGATTCAGCCAAGCCATTACATCATAAATATTTTTCTAAGGATTTTTCCCTCCCACCTTGCAGACCCAACCTGCACTACGACGGAGCCGGACCCGATGCCTACTTCTGGGTGGGCAACGGCAGTGAACCGAACATCATGGGCATAAAGGTTAGCAAAACCTAATAAAAAGGGATTGAATTATTTAGTTTGTTAACTTTTTCTATAGGTGCCGAACGAGGTGGGTTCCCTGGAACCGTTGCGTGGCTATCAGGGCGAGGACATCGAGATCCAGCTGCCCGCCAACCTCACCGTCTACGACATCGACTGGCTGGCCGTGTGGTGTGTGGAGTACCGACACAACTTCGGACATGTCTACATTCCGCGGGACCTGGACGTTCCGCCGGCCTTGGGCCAGACCAAGATCACGGTAAGTACGGTTCCCGGAGACGGGTTAGATTGTTCTGGACCATGCCCCGCTCCATATGCTAGCATTTATTCATTTGCATAAAACTCATAATATATATCTCTTTGACCTATGCGCGCCGCATTAGCCATTATGGTGGTATTCACCCGTGAGTACTAGACTTAGCCCCATGCATGACCCGTCCCTTGGCCAGACCACGTCCCTAACACCTTCAACTCTCCATTCCAGACCACGACCACCCCGCGGCCTGCCGTGTACAGCAACTGTCGCGAGATCCTGCCAAATCGGCTGCAGGTGAAGTGGGAGCTTCAGGGCGAACACCTGCTGGTGGAACTCTTCGGACGCATTGCCGAGAACCAGTACATGGCCTTCGGACTGTCCGGGGCGAACGGCCGTCCCCAGATGGCCCAGTCCGACGTGGTGGTGGCCTTCTATGACACCAATGCTCGGGTCTTCCGGGCGGAAGACTACTTCATCTCAGACTTGTCTCAGTGCGACGGGCAGAGAGGAGCCTGTCCAGATGAGCGGATCGGGGCCCGCAACGATGTAATAGTTGGTTAGTGCCCGGAATTATTGTTCCATATTTATTTCTAATTAATTAAAATCCTTTTAGTGAGCGGCGACAGAAAGAACGGAGTCACCAGCATCCGATACAAGCGCCTGCTGCAAACCAACGAGGCCATCTACGATGTACCGATTCCCATTGATCGCGAGGTTTCCGTGATTGCCGCCATAGGACCCCTCAACGCCCGGAAGGAGGCCAACGCCCACTCGCACACCGCCAGCGACCACAACCAGGACGACATTCGCATTAACTTTGGAGCTCGGGTATGTGTGCAAAGTCCACAAGCAAAGATCCTAAGGATAACTTGTTGCTGCTCCCTTAGAATGACCACGCCTGCAAGAGTTCGCTGTATGACGTGAAGGACGAGACCGGACCCAAGCCTTGGCCCACGCGCAAAATCCAGGGCGTCAGGAAGTTCCGGGCCAGCATTGGGCCCACGGGCGGCAAGCGTGGCTACACGCCCATCACCGGAGTGCCCTCGTGGGGCATTGCCTGGTACGTGAACGATCTGCTGATCCCCGAGATCACAGTGGAGCGTGGCCAGACCTACGAGTTTATTATCGAGGGCGGCAACGATCCCTCAATGCCAGCCAGGTGAGCTTTACAAGCTGGACTCATTGCCATAGGTGTGAATAATGCCTGTTTCATTCAACAGATATCATCCGTTTTACATCACGGACTCGCCGGAGGGCGGACTGGGTCAGAAGGTGGGTCTGGATGCCCGCAAGCAGAAGGCTTACGCTGGAGTGGAGTACGACGAGGATGGCGATGCTATTCCCACTGGAGGTGAGTCCAGATCAGTGACTTATTTGCCACACAACCAATATATTTTCCATAAATAGGTGGTCGCTATTGCGAGTGGGAACATCAGACCGTTGACCGTTCGCTGGAGATCGAAACCTTCGAGGAATACATGAAGACACTGGAGTATAAGTGCGAGGACGGCGAGCCGGGCTATCTCAACTGGACGGTGCCCATGGATGCTCCTAACCAGCTGTACTACCAGGTGAGTGTCTCTCGCTGGCTTGAAGAGTGTTTATAAACATTAATTCTTTTATATTCCTTCACCGATGCAGTGCTTCACTCACAACAATCTGGGCTGGAAAATCAACGTCGTCGACATGGGTGCCTCTGGCGGATCCAGCGTCGGCGTTAACCTTATCGTTTTTATTGGCCTGGTTGCGACACGCCTGCTACTGACTGGCCGCGTGCTTGCCTGATAGTTCTCTGGCCTTGGTCAGTAAATTGGTTTAAATTCTAGGTTTACTTAGGGGCATCGACAGACCAGGTTCCCCGGCATCAACCGAGCACATATCCAGCTCCCTACATATCCCTTAACACAACGACGTATCCCGCTTCTTGCGACGAATTTATGATTTCAATTCCATGATAATGATGCCCGGACCTGTGTCTCCGTCGAGGGCCTGGGGTTCGGGCCAGTGGTAGACTAGGGCGACTTTCACAACCAGGCTAATATCATCTGACAAAAACATATCTTGACAATAATTCGTAAGACGTAAAAGTGTTGAAAATTGAGTGTGCATGCGTGAGAGGGTCCACTGTGCACGGTACAGGGTGCAGTGGGCCATAGAATGGGTGTGGGGCCACCGCCGGAGAGCATATATCCAGGCGGTGGCAACAGAATTTTGGCGGCAAGGCGCGATAACTTTTTGTACATTTTACGAGTATGGAATTCTACTTTTTTACATGTATACTTATTCAATTTACTTATACATAAATCTACGTCTCTAGCGCAGTAAAATGTAATTTTCTAGCAACAACTACAAACGAAAATCCCTTCGCTACATGCCTAGAGAGACCCAACATGGTTCTACGCCAAAGTGTAAGCCGACAATAATGAGGTGACACTGCGACAATAAACGAACAAGCGATAATAATAATTATAATGCAAATAATGTGAACAAAACACAATAAATACCTACGTTTAGACATTGTACAATAACAAACACAATTATAAGGAGGAAAAGAGAGTGTAGAAAGGGCAGAATCTGAGGCAATTTGTATGACAATAATAATATCTACAGAATTGTGAATTTTTGAGAAGGGTCTCGTTGGCGGACAATACAATACTTTTACACAATTTAAATGTACTAAGGAAACACTAATTGATAATTGAAAATACCCAACAAACATATGTTATTTAATGCTACTGACACTAACTACTGTGGTGCTTCTTGTAACGATATTAGACGAAATGTAAATCACGCTCAATGCGGCTTTTGTTATTTACGGACGACAATGCTGATGGATTTCTTGAAACCTTTTTAACTATATTTGCGTAATTGGTGTTTTTACATAAGCATGATATATATGTATATGTATATGTATATTCGTACGTGTTTACAATAAGCGATATGTTAATACCGAAAAGCAGCGACAAGCAACTAAGATGTACGACAATAAAGAGGAGCATAGAGGTTAGTTGAGAGAAATCGAACATATAGGATACTATAAAGTGGGATAAATATGCATGTTTGGTAAATCCTTTTGATAGTTATACGCATTCATTTTCTACCTTGGCTCGGTGTAAGCAAATATACCCAATATTGGATTCATTCGATGAGCTAACTCTTGAGAATGGACTTACTCTCCCTAAGCTATAGATGTATAAAAGAGCAAGGACCCTGGAGTTTGTTAAGTTTCTGTTGTTGCGTTGAGTTCTATTGAGGCTTCTCCCTTGTTTCCTTTCCCTCTATATAAGAATATTTACTAAATATTAAGGACAACTGTACATTTCCGGGGCAACAAAGATATAGAGTGGCGTGTAAAGAGGTCTTCAGCTATGGAGAGTTTTGATATTGTAACTTGTGAAGGTCCTGAGGAGGAGCAGGAGGTTTGTAAGTCAAATTTAGTTTTGTATAGATTAATGCAGCTAAGCGCACAAGTGTCCAGAGATAATGAAAACGAATCGAAACAAATATGTACGAAGAGCAAAGGATTTATAAATACATAAATTCACACACATTTATATTCAATTGATATACATATACATACAACATGCATAAGAACATATTTACATTAAACAAGAGGAAGAAATATACATTCAAAGAATATCCCAAGTATTAAGGAATTTCCATGTCGATTATAACTTAACATCTCTCGTACTTAGATAGCAACATTTTTCTGCATTACCTAAACAAACTACTTTTCATTACGAATAAAATAAATCAAACTCGAAATCAAAAGCAACTTGCATTCAAATCTCCAATTTAATAATTAGATATGTATGCACGACTCGCAGGCTAGGAGGCGGAGGACGAGAAGAGAAACTATTCCATTTTTAAATGTTAATATATAGATCGTATCAGATCCAAGAAACTCAAACCCCCATTGACAATAACTCGCCATCAAGTTGGCCAGTTCCCGAAACAAGCGGTAGAGAATTGAAAGATTGATGTCAATAAGCAGCTTCACAAACAAAATCAAAACTGCTATAAAAACACAAAGTCGAAATAAAAACAAATATTCTACAAATAAATTTTCAAAAACAAAATGCGTTAGTTTGTTTTACTTTTGGGGAAAAATTATGTTTATTTCACAGCTCAAAAAATACACACATATATTCTTACTCAACAATTTCTCTTCTACTATCTTTAGTTCTAATTTCACATTTATTATTTATGTCGGGACGGCGCGAACGCCATTCCCGGCTACCAAAAATTACACGCACGAGTTATTCACATTAGGAATAATCGCAGAGGTCAACTCAGCCGAGGTGCAATGGCCAAGCCTCACTCCGGAGGAACCGCCTTCGTGATCACGGTTAACCTCTACGCCAGGTAAGTATGCTTTCCTCTGCTCGGCGGCAGGGTTTCCATGCCAGCAACGCCAGAACCAGTTGGGAATCGTATGTCGCTGGTGGTGGCAAGAAAACACCCCGTAAATATGCCTCACAAAATTCTCTGGCCATGCGCACTTTGGCCTGAGTTGATAATTGCCAGCTGTTCCACGCTGTAGCTTATAAATGTTGTGTTTTTTTAGAAATCGTATTAAATTCATCGAATTAAAATTATATTTTATATTGCTTGCCGTTGTGCGAAATGTATATATAAATAATCTTTTTTGAAAATATTGTTTTTATAGGGTACGACTAATTATAAAAGGGAAACTGAATGGAAAACCATCGCTAATAAATACAGCGTCGCTAAATATTCCTGAACATCGTAATTAACATTATATTGTTTTAATTTTGATGTTGATTTAAAATTTTTAAAAACAAAAATCAAGAAATTCCACACATTACACCATCCAATGCTGCAATCTTCTTACTCAATTTACAATAATATGGGCTGGAAAGGCAGCTAAATAAAATATTTCGTAAATATAGAAAATTGCCTTATTCAATTCAAGGAACTCTTCCAAAAATATCCAAATTTTTCTTTTAAATCACAAATTAATGTTTTAAAAAACAGAATTTTATTGTCAACTCGAAACTAGAAGCTTCCAAATAAATAATTCTGGAGTTTTTAAAAACTAACCTCTGTTTAAAGCTATAAAAGCAAGCGTAGTCCAATGCCCGACCTTTATAAATATTTTCTGAGATTTAAAACTCCCATTAGCTTATTAGGTCATAGGGTGTTCTCTATATATTCTGATGGATACTCTTTTAATGATACTAAATAGTATTTTCGAAGAAAATTGCCTTTCGCTCCCATCACAAAACTGAATTGGTTTCTATTTCAAAATCCATTGCGAAATCCCCATAGCCTAGAGCTAAAAATCCTAGAAAATTAATGAATAAATAAATAAGTCCAGAAATGGTTTATGCGTATTGCTAGAAAGTTTTTATTTTACATTTTGTATTTATTATAAACTATTTTGTTGTTTGTTTTTTTGCATTGTCTGTGTGCATTGTTAACACACACTTCAACGCAACTGCAACATATAATGAACACACACGAAAGTGTTTAATGCATACAAAATAAGAATAATAATACAAATAATCGTAATTCATAATTATAGGGTGTGTAAGATTACCTAACTTAGTAATGCATAATGCGCGATTTGGGGCAGAAAATGAATATCAACGTACATATACATCCGTAGACTCTGCAGATACATATAGATCTAGATCTAGATATACAGATACAGATAATGCTATTATGAACTCGCTCTTGAAACTGTACATCGTTTTATTGTGGTTCATACGGTTTAGGTAATTCCTCTGTTATTTGTTATTTAGAATAATGCTTTACCATTACGTCGTTTACTGAATCTAAATCGTTTATAATTGTGTTCCTTCGTTCGTTTCCTATCTTCGTTTTAAATGTAAGCTCTAGATTTGGTGAGAAATACGTAAATGTTGCTGCTGTCGGGTAGTTTGCAATGGATTATTGCGAATAATTGGGTTTAACGATTACATTTCCATCTTTGCTTTGTTTTTACACAATTATACACAATCAATGCTCTTTGCCTGTGGCTGGCCATATAAATATATCTGCGATTTACATTCGATATCAACTTATACAATTATTAATCATTGCGTTCAATGCTGCGCCAGCTGGCTTCGCTTTCATTGTTTTGAAATCATTTTTACATTATACAGTAACGGAAATCAAACGTGAAACTTGAACATGCAACTGCGATCGGGAAGGGGGATCGGCTTTCGTTAATTTCGCAATTAATCGCTTTGATTTGCTAAACATAATGCAAAACTCAAGCACAGACAGAGACACTTCAGTGTTCGCTCAAAAACGGCTTCCGCCTTTCAGCTGCATTAAATATTAATCAATTAATTAATTAATTATAATAAATAAAGCCTAGTTTTAATGCCTGCTTCAAACTCGGACATCGTTCAATTACTACAGTATCTATGTATCTATAGACGTAAATACAATTGTTAATCGCTTATCGATTTTATATTAAATTTAATCTAGATTATCCTGGAATATTAATTTAATGTAGCCAGTCGCACCGTCCAAGGGCGTCGCACAGAAGGGACACACCGCCTGGAATCCGTTGGTGCCGTGCGGTATCTCCACATTGGCCCAGTATCTGCAAAAGGTCGAAGTAAAAACCACCATGAATATAGTCGATTCTTTGATTTCCTGAGGCTTTTCCTACTCACTTGACAGTTTTCTCAGTCGCCATGTGTCCGCACGGATTGAACGCAAATGTCGGGGCCCCAACATCCACATAGAAGGCCGGCTCCAGGCCCATGCACAGGGTGACCACTGGACCCAGCTCCAGGCACATGGGACAGCGGCGGGCGCCAGTGTTGACATCCTGACCCCAGTCGTGATGGCCTGCCAGGAAAAGAAGCCAAATGTTAGTGATATTTTTGATTCCAAATAACAATTAAAACTCACCTTGGACATGGCCACAGTTTAAGTACACATAAGGCTGGTTCACCTGATCCCCAATGTTAACTTTGCGCGGTATAACCAGCGTGTTCAGGCCGACCGGGCACTGCGGACGGCCGGCATTGATGGCATCGATAAGTTTCTCCAAATCATGTTTGGTCTGCAATTATTAATCAAATTGTAAATAAAACTGAATATATACTCTGGAACTGCGCTGTTGACTCACCGGCGAGTGCTGCAAACCCTCGGCGGAACGCCAGAGCAGAGTTGCGCCGCAGAGATCAATAAGTGTGCCATCCTGCAGGATGTTGCATTCGTCGTAGATCTGCGGGAAATTGCAAAAAAGAATTAGCTTCGCTCTGAGTTGGAGCTGGAGATAATTAATTGACTTACTGGCTGACCCTTTTGCTGTGCCGAACGCGACTCGCGCAGGCTGAAGACATCGCCGCCCACGGAGCATTCACGCCAGAGTCCGCACTTGGCACTACCGCCGCAAAACGATCCTTTGGGGTGCATAATTAGCACGCCGTTGGTGGTCAGGCCATCGATTTCCACGTTGTCCTGCCACTTGGTGGCCTTCTCCTATGGAAAGTCAAGTTCGGAGCTCATTAGAATCGATTAGAAACGATTATGGCGAGACCACACTTACCCCAAGGAATATGTTTCTGCTCGAATCAAAGCCGGCGGCGAATATTCTTGCCTTGGCAGGCTCACAGCGGTTGACCAGGATGCGGCAGGCGAAGCGAGAAATTGTGCTCTGCATCACCTTGGCGTCCTTCTTGTCGCCGGGCAGCGTGTCCATCACCACAAAGTCAATGGGTGACTCCGAGGAGCGTCCCACCTGGCGGAAGAGTGGAGAAGAGCAATAGGAATTAGTCGAAGGTGAATGATTGGGGGGAAACCACTGATTAGTGTGAGTGAGTGAGTGCATGGGGTAATTTATCACTAAGCAAATAAATGCCAAATCATGCGATATTGGCATTACACTTCAGGCCAAATAGGGAAACGTTGCTCCGGCCATGAGACCCATATAAATATTGAATGTCGCTTTGTCTGCCCGGCTAAAAGTCAAGAGTCAAAACAGGAAAGACGAAGTCTGACCTTCTATCGGAACAGAATGATTCCAGGTCAAGCTTTAATTAGCCAGAGAGCATTCATCAAAGTCAGGTCACCTCTGGGGGATTAGAGAGAACTTCTCCTTACCTGAAACATGTCCGTTTCCGCGTCCTCCTTGTACTCGACGATTACCGCCTGGTTGCGTGAGAGCGTGTACGAGATTGAGTGCTGGTTGGCATCCAGGATGGCCTTCGAGGTCTGTGGCGACTGGACGATGTAGTGCTTGGACCGCTTAACGCCGCTGGCCTCCGTTCGCTTGTGCAGCACGAACTTGGAGCGTCGCCGGCCGCGATCTCCCTGTGGCAAGTAACCATTGTAGCTGCAATGACAAAGAAACAGATTCAGTTTAAGATTCAAATACAGATACTCTAACTGGCCAATGTGGGGCAAGTTGATAAGCGGCCGCCCCGAATTGGGGCCATGTGAGATTGTTGCTTAATTCGTTTGGTTTATAGGTCAAGTTCTGCGGCGGCAATATGTTTACGCAATTAGTGGAGCGCTTCTGCTGGGGTCTCCCACAGATAATGGGCACTAATAACTCAAAAGAATTGCGAGGCTAGCCTAATGTGTTCCCGGTGATATTTCTGCCTTTTTTGCTACATTAGCCAGGCCATAAACCTTGTGGTTATCCGTCAATACTGGTACATATTGGTATCATAGAGCCGCGGCGCGTTGGTATTTATAGCTTGATTTTTCATTGCCAAGAAAGTGTTATTGGGGAGTGGTAAAGGTTAAGATGTCTATCGTGTTTTACTATTACAAAAATTTTAAAGAAATTAAGGCATAAACTGGTTTTAAGGGCCATAAAATGAAAAAAAAAACATATTAACTTTGATAAATTTAATAAAGAAAAGCCATGAAATGATGTTGTTCTAATCCCTTTAAAATAGAGTTTTTATATGCCCTTAAATTAAGGTACATATTTCCTACTTTTCCTATTTTTATACCCTTGCAGGGTATTATAATTTCAGTCAGAAGTTTTCAACGCAGTGAAGGAGACGTTTCCGACCCTATAAAGTATATATATTCTTGATCAGCATCAACAGGGGAATCTTTCTATATATGTCAGGAAGAAATCGATTTTTTGGCCATTTTTGCAAAATGTTATAAGGGGTTACATCATTAAAATTTTTAATTTTGATAAAAAATTGAATTTTCAAAATTTTTAAATGAAGTATGCAGATTTATTAACTGTAGAAAATCTAGCACAGAACAGTTTTCCGATTTAAAATTAATGGTCTTTTGGCCGAGTTATGATATTTTTAATTTAAAAAAAATCAAGAAGTTTTTTAATATAAAAAATCAGATTTTATAATACAAAATAAAATTTTTCTAAGTCAAGGAATCATTTCCGACCCCATAAACATATTCTTGATCAGCATCAACAGGGGAATCTTTCTAGACATGTCCGGAAGAAATCGATTTTTTTTGCCATTTTTTTCTAAATTTGGTATGCAGTTTTTTTTAAATTAATAAAAATCAACACAAAACTGCTTTCCGAATCGAAATTAATGCATTTTTGGCCTAGTTATGATATATTTTAATTGTTACCTGCAAGGGTATACAAACTTTGGCTGGCCAAAGTTAGCTTTCTCTCTTGTTATTTATTTTTTCCTGGCACTTCTTTCATTCAATTTAACGATCTGATAATAAAACGTCAATAATAATTCTTCTGATTTTATAGACAATATTTTTTAAGAATGTCGCCCGTCAAGAAAAGACTCCCCCGCGACAAAGTATCTTTCCTACGAAATTATTCAGTCAAAGAACAATAATCAAGAAGGGGAATGTGTCCCGCGAGTGATGTAAAGTTCTCGGAACCCCGAAAGGTTAGTGGAACTCAAACGGCAAACGTCTCAAAAGCATCAATCCAAATTCATGTTTACAACTACGACGTTTGACCCCCCTCGAGGCCTGTGTGTTGTGTCTTTGATATTGTAACGCTGTTTCGGGTTTATATTCATACCCACATTTTGCCTGCTAACCAAATCTATTTTGCGTTGTTTTCTTCGTTAATCGTTAATTGGTTATGTCTTATTTTGACGACAGCAATTAAGAGTTTGAGATTCGCTGACAACGTTCCCAGTGCTCGCTCTAGCTTGTGTTGTCCAGGCCCATCATCGTCCGGTTGTCTCTCATATATCACTGACCGACCAGCGTGAAGTGACCACATGTTGCTCGGGAGAACCAGCATGGTTGCCGTGATAAATGGGGAATTGATGGAGAACTATAGCCAGCTGCCTAAAGCCCGGCCTGCCTTCGTCCTATGGGCAATTAAAAAGTGTTAAGATAACACAACTGGGGGGACACAAAAGGGCGCAACTGCAGCTTCATCTCGGAACGCTTTCGGCTAATGACTCAAGTCTGGAGCCGCAGTCTGAGACAGACTGAGGCTGAGCCGCACTTTGGTGGTGAGTCAGCGTTGACCAAGCGCTGCCAATCAGCACAATGTCAGGCGAGCATCAAGATTTACAATCATCCGTCCCGGCTGCTGGCCAGAACCATCAATCTCCGCCAGCGGAGGACGGAGCACTGCGTGGCTCAAAATTTATTCGGCTCTCCACGGCTCTATGTTTACTGAGCCGGCACTTAGACTTCTGTAAGCGTTGGAGCCGTGTGTTTGACTGATTGGGTTTATGGCTCGAATCGAAGTCGGAATTGAAGAGGTCTCGAGCGAGCAAGCGGTTTGGTTGAACATCCCATAAAAAGGCAGTGAATCCTAATTTATGATTCCATGATGGACGATAATAGATTTTCATGAGATTGTGTTGGGATAGTGTCGCTGTGAAATGTAACTGGTTAGGGAGGTTTGAGCCGCTTTCAAGTCCCTTGGAGCAGCATTATTAAGTAGCTTGCATAATTCCAGGCTTTTACAAAAGATTTTATGAAGAATTTACGTTGATGCAGTTTTAAGACAAAGAAAATAGCTCTGTTTTAAGGTCTTTTCTTGTTCCTTAAATAAACCAAAGCGAAAGTTGTGCAGAAATATGAATTATCTCAATTGGAGGCATATTCAGCCTTTCAATGACCTACCCTTTGTTGTGCTGTTAAGCTTTTTGAAGTAAAATAAATGCTTCAAGTCGAAGAACAAAGACTTTTACGACTTGAAGTGCTCATTTCAGCACTTGTCAAGTGAAAGGCTCTCCTCTCCGCCCTGGTAAGACCACCTACGTTCTTACGTTCAAGTATATATAGTATAGTATGTACACTCGTCTGTTTTTACTATTGTTTGGACTTACCCGAGTATCACTAGTTCCCCGTAGCGCAATCGCGGTTTGTCATGACCATCGCCACCGTCTTCAGCCAGTATGGGAGATTCGGTGCCGTCGGTGCTGGAAGTAAAGGAAAATGGAATTGAAAATTAAATTTTTAATGGTATTGCATCGTCCTCAACATTTTTGTATTATTATTTTTATCCTTAAAAGGGGAAAAGAAACTGATTCGACTGCTAAGTCATTATGTAATGCAAGAAAAGGGAAACAATAAGGGAAAAGTTCTCCGAGTAGAAAATAGAGCAAAACAAAGGAGGCAAAATGGCATATATATATATAAAGCAAGACAATTTCCAAATAAATGCTAAAGAAATTGCTCATTTTCAGCACTATTTGTATGTGTGTTGCTCCTTTTTCTTACTACACAGCGGGAAAATTCAGACTTTACACTTGTATTCAATTATTTTATGAGTGCAAGTATTTTATTTATGAATTGTTTATGGAAGAACCTTAGAGGCAAGGGCTAGAAAACTCATCTAATGCAATTATATTCTCTCTCTCTGAGTTATAATTAAATTCATTTCGCTCTGTGCTTGTATTACGCTGCAACTTCTTGGCTGTTTTCTTGGCTTTCTAGAATTTCAAATGGGAAAACGGCTCCGCTCTGTCTCCGCACTGCCAGCACTTTTCGCTTCCTTGGAAGTCTTAGGAATGCTGCACACCGCACAGTCTATCCTGCCTCAAGTTACCAGACCGATCTTGTAGGTAATCGCCTAATTAGGGGGATAATGATGTCCCAAATTAGTTGGGAATTGCACATTAACTACAACGAATTTCTCATTAGCATTGGATGACGCAGCAGCGGCTCCTTCTTCTGCTGCAGTGCCTTCTGCTTTATTTTTATTACATCTAAATTCAGGTTTCGGGGCACATCATAAACTTATTTACGGCAATCTAATAAAGCAGCCTGGCGCCGGTTGACGCCCACTTTACCCCCTGAAATCCCCCCAAACACACACACACACAGTCGTGGAGATGCCAAATGGGATTTTTTGTGATTTTTTTTTAATGTACTCTGCAGTCAAAGGGGGATTGCAACGGGCGCCGCTCTGGGGTTGCATTGATTTTTGCTCGCTGCATTTAAACTTGCTCCCCTTTTGCGATGACTGAATGGAAATGTGGGGAAGCCAAGGCACGGACGGAGGGGGGACTGGCACTTGAATTGTGCAGCGCAGACAGAATTTCAGAGCCCACAACGAGGGAGGGGGGCGGAGGTGGTGGGCCATGGGGGTTGCAAGGTGAAATGCCAACTGCTCATCACTCTCTCTCACCCTGTCGGCCCCCTCTGTGTTTGCAGACTTCAAATTAGCGCTGCAACTTTGTTTAGATATGTACAGACACATCTGACAGGCCGTACAGTCATGTCTATAACCTTAAAAAGGCAGGCTAAGCTTTAAGCAGGGCTAGAAGGATATAATAACTGAATGCTTTTAGCTTAATTCCTTTTACAAATTATATATTTTCTTTGAAGGATTTACTTGCTAAAAAATATCAATCTAATTACCTATTTGAACTTTTAATAAAAGTTACCTACAGCAAAACACAATTTTAACTAAATAAATTCACCAAAAATTCCCAACATTCAACAGGTTACTTTGGCTAATAACAAATGTACACAAATTATGAATTCTTAGACAAATGAAACCACGTCATTGGGGGCTTCAATTATACTCTCCAACATTGCCTACAACAAGGGGCCCACCCAGCATCAACGGAACAAAGTGGGTTAAATTGATTAAGCCAAGCATGATTAATATTAATAGAAGTTTGCCTCTGTGTTTGTCATTTGACTCTAAATTAAATTCAATTAACAGTCTGAAAGGAAAACAAAGGCAAATGGGTATATCGAAATGGGAATCGAAGTAAATATTTACACAATATGCGTGTGGACATAATGCGAGCTTCATTGCCAGATGTTCCAGAATCCACGTCAAATTACACAATTTTCAATTGAAACACTTCCCATTTGGGGAGGAGACCCTTCTTCCCCAAAAGCATTGAAAGCATTATTTCCCGCAGGGTCCACTCAGAGCGAATTCATTAACAAATCGCATAAATCTTGATTAATTGACATCGAGGAAAAATATAAATAGTGGATACAATGGGTTTGGAGACCAGCACTATATAGCCACCGCTCGCTGCGTGACTATTTCACATGCAATCAGCTGTTCTCCGGCCTCCCTGCTGCCTGCCACCAAAGAATTTATCGATTTTCAAAGGCAACATGCCACTATTTGCATACATTTCAATTTCGAAACTAACCCAAGCACATTACGACAGGCCAACCGAAAAAGCTGGCAAAAAAAAACTAATACAAATAAAAAGGAAAAACATAGGAAACATTGTGCGCTATAAAAAAGATATACGAATACATGGAGTTACTTCCAACACCGAGCACAGCGCGGGAGTTTGTGGGGGGGACGATACAGATACTAAAAGGGGCATCCATGAGATACGATATCTTTGATGGCGCGGCCCTAGTGTTTGTGTTTGCACTCGTATTTGTATTCGTGGCTGTATCTGTATCTGTGTATCCGTGGTGCCGGCTCCGGTTTTGTACTTTTGCTGTTGCCTGCCGTCTGCTGTCTGTTGTTTAGGGAAATCAATTTTCATGTCTGTGTGTGCTTGGGTTTACGCCGCCAGTGCTGGTGGTGGTGCTGGTTGCTGGTTGTGGTATTTGTGTTCGTGGGGAAAGGGCGTAGAAGAGTATTCCATTATAATGCCATACCATACCATACTACACCGCCCCGTTGCATGACAGTGCTCTCATAGCATCGATTTTCCCTCGTTGGCCTGGCATGCAAGCCACACGGTGAAAAAGAATGATCCCAAATTATGGTCGATGGGGCATTAATTAGTTGTTCGATTAGGCGTACAAAATAAGTACAAATATAAGTGCCTTTTTATGGCATTGACCTTTCTTAAAATATCTGTGGATTGTAGGTAGACGAAAAGTTCTACTCACTAAGCCAAGCTTTTATCTTCAGCTGAGCTTATTGGACTACTTGCAAATAATTTCCTAAAAAATAATTATTTCTTTATGTGCAGCACCCAAAACCAGAACGAGACCCACAACAGGCCGCTCTATAGTTGGCCGACACAATCGCATTACAATAAATTTTACCAACTAACGCAAAGGGCAAACATTTCCCCCTGATTGCATGCTAAAGAGTGCACCACCAGGACCCCCATCAGAGCCATCAGCCATCATCAGCCATGGAAAACTCAAGGGTAGGGCTCGGAAATCAGGACAAGAGTGGTGACCCCACTATAGGCATGGTTGGTGACCAACCGGACTCGGACCCAGACCAACCGCAGCGGTTTAATGTCACGGGGTCGGGTCGCAGTTTATGCAAATTAATTTGATTATTACACTAAAGTAAGCCAGGTATTCGTTGCACTCATTTGATTAGCCCAGCCCCGCCCACTTAAGCGCCTCCCCAGCAAGTGGGGGCTCTCCCTTGCAAGGCTTTTAGCGTCTCGTTGCACCTCTAATTGAGTTTAAGCGGTGGAGGGGCGACTGTGGATGTGTGAAAAACAACCGCAGAAAGAAACAGCAAGAGTTAAAAGGTCAGTTGGATGGGAAATAGGGAAAGAAATAGTAAAGTAAGCGATGAAAAAACTAAACGAGGTGCTTCTCTGTTTATTCTAAGATATTTATTGTTAACAGAAATATATTTTGCTATATGAATGTTAAGAAAATATGAACCCTTTCTGCTAAAAAAAAAAACTTAATATGTTTCCATGTTATAATAAAAAAAGAACCATCTATCTCTATGCAACAAAAAGAATCCTGTGTACACAATCCTTACTCGTTTCCCCATCCTAGTTAGTATCCTGGTAAACCCCAAATAGTAGTGTCATAACTCAATGGGACAACGGAGGACCAAACTTAACAAAAATAACATTATACTCGAAAAGTTTTCGATCAAATTCTGGTCGCTGTAGCAGCTGCATCTGCTTCTTCTTTTGCTCCAGTTTCGGTACCAGTTCACTATATTTATAACTTTCATAAATCTTTGAGTTTGCTTGTCAACAGCAGCGGCGGACGATGCGGGAACTTGGTGAAGGTGGAGCGGCTTTATTTACATGCGGCGACAGCGGGAGAAATATATATATATTTGAACGCAGCAGATAAAAAAGAAGTGGAAAAGATAGTTTCCACCATTTGAAATTTGAGCAGGGCAAAACGGAGGAGATTCCCTCGCTGCATTATTCAAACTGCAGGGTCGCCCCTCGACTGTCATGCCAAATAAATGCAAAGACCGGCAAAGTGCAATGGCAGATTAAACAATAAACAAGAGGGGGAACAATGGCAAAACACCGACACAGACAGACGACACTTTTTTTTGCAGATACATTGCAGGTGCCCAGGTAGAACACACACACATACACACACTCGTACAAGAGGGGCCCAGCAAGAAGGGCAGGTGTTTCGTTACCATATTTTATGGTTAAATTTGCGGTTTGTGCTTGGGTTAGCTGCTTCCCAAGCCCATTCATATGCTGTGGATGTCTGCTCGCATATCTATAGCTGAATCCCCGCGTTCTCTCCACTCGGATTTTGATGTGTATCCGTATCTCAGCCTCTACATGTATCTGTATCTGTGCACATGTCTCGGCCACACAGCTGTTTGCATTTCAAGAATGAAACTCTCATTGAGACAACTTCAAAGAGGTAGCAAAAAAAAAAGCGAGGGAAAAGAAACATTCACGAAAAAAACTCGTTTTGGCAGCAAAATTTCAGCGGAAAGAATGGCAAGAAAAGAACATCATCAAAAAATTGGGGAGCATAAAAAGAGAAGCAAGGCAAGCAATACATAAACTTGCTTATATATACAATATATAACCATATTCATTAAGAAATAATCCATAAAACTGGCAGGACAAGTAAAATCTTTGTATCTTTGATATATTTATAAGAAATAATTCATAAAACTATAAAAGATATAGAAAAAGCAATAGTAGCAAGTAACCCCACACTTTATATCTTTATCAAGAAATGTACCTTGAAATATTAGACTTTAAGTGTTGGCAATAAGTCAGGAAATAGTCCGAGT